AACACACACACACACACACACACACACACACACACACACACACACACACACACACACACACACACACACACACACACACACACACACACACACACACACACACACACACACACACACACACACACACACACATACATACATATGGTATATATGTGTGTATAAAGGTGTCACTTTTGACTTAACCAGGCACCCCTTTTTAATTCACATTTTTAAGTTGAAGCAAATGTAGTTTTATAAAGTGATGCGTTTCTGCTTTTACATATTTTCTTAGTTTGCTGACATGTAGAAAATTAGGTACACTTTTTCACCGTAAGACGCTCTGAAAACACATTCAAACGGTGTTGACGCAAAAACACATAGCAGGTAAGTATGACAAGGAACAGTGTACAAGCAGAGGTAGAGTAATGTCATTTAAGATAAAAAAAAAAACAACTAGAATAAAAACAGGAAGAATAAAAAAAATGGCATTTCAAAAGAGACAAGCTCAATGATAAAAGCAAAAGTCATAAAAGGATTTAAGACTTTTACAAGACTTGTGTTTTCTCACATTGTTTGGAACATACTGATAAAACAGCTCAAATAGACATTTTTAGGGTCAAATTTGAACTTTTTCATTCATTCTTTAGTTTATTTTCAGTCACTTTTCTAACTGAAACTTCCATTGTTTTCTAAGTCTGAAGTGCTAGTTTTATACAAAATATGTACAAATAAATTACAACACAATTCTTCTATATGACAAAGTAAAATGAATGATCCCTTTTTCTTTGTAAAATGATCGTCTTTCTGTTAAAAACGTCTTTGCACACAACCGCTCTGATGGAGGCATTTTGGTAATCCCGTTATTCCGGGTGCTGACTTGACGTGAGTGGACAGATTATTGGTTTGTTGCATGAGTGATTGACAGGCTTTGCTCTAACATCCTGCTCCGCTCACACTGACGCTCAACAGAGTTCAATGAGTATAAATCCTGTAACTCTTCACCGAGGCTGCTGCAGCTCAGAGAAAGGTCTTAATACGATATAAGGAACCTGCGATGAATAAGGTAGTTGCAAAGTGAAAAGAGTTTCACTCTGAGTTGTATTTATAAAAAAAACACTGGTTATCAGTAAGTGTAACTCAAGAGACTTCATAAGTGTGAGCACAGGTGGAAGCAGGTGCAGCCGGGCTCGGTATTTGAAGCATTATGCCAAGATTTGATTTGAACTCACTTCTCTGGATTGAATCCCTCCACCTCCTCCAGGAACACGCTGCTGTGAGAGACTGAATCTCCACTAGGAGTCATTAGGAACTTGAGGATGGTCCCACGGGTGGAGCCCAGGAACAAGACTGTACAGTTCTTGTAGGGTCCTGCTTCTGTGTCTACCACCATGGCTGTCAGCTGGTACCTATGATCACACAAGTTGATAAATTAGATCCGTCAACTGCACTTCCTGCATTATAAACAGGCAGTGATGCATAGTTTCAGCAGTTTTGCATGCAAGGAAACAGAAAAAAAGTGTTTTGTGTACCTTCCCATTGTCTTGACCACCCAGGGTCTATGTCCCAGCAGTGGGACAGTTTCATCCATGAGAGGGTGGGTCTTCACAAAGTTCAGCACCTCGTCAGGCAGTGTGGTCGAGGTGCTAAATCTCGATCCCTGCACGGCGCATCCTCCCGGCCTGCAGACATGAGGAGGAGCAAGAGAAAATGAAAGCGATAAGATTATCTTATTTATCTCCTGGAGGCTGGCGGGATCTGTGGGGTTGACAGTATCAGCGGGACAGATGCTCGGGACAGCAGCGCTGCAGTATTCTGCTAATTTTATTATTTTCTCACACACACGTACCTTGGTTTAGGCACTGCCTCGTCTGGAACAGGTGTCCAAATGGACTCGGGGGACTTTTGCTCTTTAAACCGGCCCTCAAAAACATGAGCGAGCTGCTGCATGTCAAACACACAAACTGCAGAACCAGGGATGCTGCCGGTGGAAAGCAGGAGGGAAAAGGGTATCAGTATAATGTCATTTTTTAGTTTGTGTGTATTCTCTGAGTGTTCTGGTACCTGTTTGGGGGTGTAGAGAAGAGACCCAGGATGACGTCTCGTCCCTGCATGTGGATGATGTCACTTGTGGCATGCAGGAGGTTGAAGTAAAAGTGTGAGTCTCCCGGGATGGAGCAGTTGAGCCGAGCTTTTAGAAACGTAGTCCATTGTTTCTCGAGGACGCGCTGAGAGCCGCCCAGGTCTGATTTACAGACGCGCGCCACACGAGATACCATCACCTGGGGTAAAAAAAAAAAAAATGGATTATGATATAAAACCTGAAGGACTGCAGAGGGAAAACAAGGAGGCAATTAAAACAACAAGAAGTGGACCTTTTCTAGGTGATGAAACTCCATCGCCATTTCTCTGAAGAAGAAATAAATATGAGGCCCCCACTCCATGGCGCTTACAAAGTAGGGCTCTGTAAAACAAAAAGAGACAACACTGTGAGGGAACGCACGGTCTTAAAAACAGTCAAAAGTAAAGGCCTAGAATTCCTTTAGGGAATGAATATCATCCACCCCTTAGTGCCATTTAAACTAAAATCAGTTTATAATGAGAAACAGCAGAGTTACAGCTGCTTTACCTCAAACCTTTAAATTATGTTGTTGGGAAATTTTGCAGTGGGTTCCCACTGCAAGATCCCAGTATATTGATGGTCAGAGAAAATGTTGAGGACAACTCTTAGCTGCCACTACCTTGAATTTTCTCTCAAAACTGTAAAATTGGCTGAGTTCTATCTATTTTTGTGTTTTCAAGGATCACGTAGCTGTGACGGCCATATTGAACCATGTTGGTTCAATAAGTGATCAGTTGTAGAAATACATCCAATCAGGGCTGGCCCAAGCAAAATTAGGTTTGGGTCCCTCTATATCTGCTAATAATGTGATTTACTGCCATCAACGGTCAGAGCAGATCATTCACCCAACTAACATAAACTCATTGCAATTCTGACAGCTTGTTCACAGTATCCTATATGTGCACATCATCTAGTGCAGGGGTGGCAAACTCATTTTCATTTTGGGCCACATCAAGCTCATGAATGTCCTCATGGCAGAATGCATTGATACAAACTACCTATAAACAAACTAGTAAAATATAACTTTATCTGCATTTGATGACTAAAAATTCTAAAAATTTAATATTTTATGTTTGAGTAATTTGGCATTATAAACATAAAAACTGATTTGATTTGACTGATAATGTTGATGCACACAAATGTTATCTTGAAGTTCTGTTTCTGTGGCCCTCTAGGGAGTAGAGAGCCACATAAATGGTTATGGCGGGCCGGATTTGGCCCACATTGGTCCACAGTTTGACACATGCTGTATTATTATATATATAAAAAAAAAAAAATTAAAAATATTATTGTAAAAAAAAAAAAAAAAATCACACCTTTATAATGAAATTGTATGTAATAGAATCATAGAAATCATACAAAAAAAAATCTATTCCACTTAGGGTCAATTCCACTTAGGGGGTCCCCTGGTGGCCCCGTGGCCCTAAGCAGTCGCTTAGTTTGCTTATGCCTTGGGCCGGCCCTGCATCCAATGATTAACTTGTGAAAGTTTCTTTAAGATCCATGTTGTGGTTCATCAGACATTTTGCTGACAGGCCAACAAGGTTAAAGTCAACAGTTAATGTCAATGTTTTAATCAGGTCTCTCTTGTAAATGAGTCCTCGAGGCTCAATGGGATTTACCTGTATAAATAAAGGTTGATTTAAGCAAAGATTTTACAAAATGTTTACTACTCTGTATTTATGTTTGGCATGATGCTCAGCTACTTACACACAAATATTAACTCATAGTGTGAATGCTCATGAATCACTCACAATACTGTGATCTATTTTTCTGTCATAAGTTTTTCAGCTCGTTTTTCCTCCCGCAGTTTTCAGCTATTTTACCAAACCTTATATCAAAACATTCAGCTCATTCAGGACAATCCTGCTATGACTTTTAGTATTGGTGTAACTTTAGCTTTTTGAAATATTTAGCATTTTCTGCCTTTTTTTTTCTGACTGAAAATGAATTGAGCTCCTTTTACATCCTTCAAATCTTTAGATCTGTTTACAACCTTTTTCTGCTCCTTTCATATTTTGTTCTGGTTCAGCTTCTTTCAGTTTCATTGTGCAATTTTAAACTTTTTTTCTGCTACTTTCAGCTGTTTTTTCAGCTGTTCTGTGCTCCTTTCAGCTTCTTTCTGCTAACTACAAAATATTTGTGCTTCTTCTAACTTCTTTCTACTCATTTCAGCTTGTTATGTCCCTGTTATCTTATCTCATTTATTTATGCTAGCTTCAGCTTTGTTGGTTATTTCAGTTAGCTGTTTTTATGCTAATTTTAGCTTTTTCAACTAAGTCCACTTTTTCCCCACTCATTTCAATCTTTTTCACCCCAATTCAGCAAAAATGTACTCGCTCCACTTCCTTCTGGTAATTTAAGCTTCTTTCTGCAGTTTCAGTCTTTTTCAGCTTTATTTAGCTAATTTCAGCTTTGTTTAGCTAGTTTCTCCATTTTTGTGCTAATTTCTGCTTATTTTAACCCAATAAAGCAAACATGTTCTTTCTGCTCTCTTCTGCTAATTTAAACTTGTTCTTGCATTTCAGCTACATTTCAGCAACGTTTTGAGCTAATTGCAGCTGTTTTAACGCAAGTTCTTCTGCAATAAGCATTTACACTGCATTTTCCCAGGAAATGCAGTTTCTCTAGTTATTTTTAAATTAAGCTGAGTTATAGCCATTTTTATTTTTGTAATTACAGTTGGTTGTGGCAGCCATATTAAATTGGGGTGACTAAAAATTGTAATCAGTTGTTGCTCTAAATACAATGACTGTTGCGTAAAATATTTGTTAATACCTAACGCGTGTTCCATGGAATATTTTACTAACATACATAGTTGACTCTAAAATATTAACGGCAAAGTTTTAAAACGGATCTCACTCTATCGGATTTCACAGTATGCGCTGGAAATAAGCCTCAGCTACTAACACGACAAATTTGAGCTCAATTTCTGTAAAACTGACTGAGTCATAGCCGTTTATGTGTTTGCTGAGATTGCTTAGCAGTGCCAGCCATCTTGAATGGGATTGACTTCAAAACCCAATCAGCTGTTGATTATCATCCAGTAATTACTTTCTGAAAGTTTCATTCAAATATGATGACTGGTTCATAAGATCTTCTGCTAACAGTACCCCCCCAACACACACACACACACACACACACACACAAAGAAATGGGTAAAATCTTTATCTCCCTTTTGCCTTCGGCTGTGGGCAGTAATGAAGAGCTGGGAGGGGGAGACTAACGTAACTCCTAGAGTACCTCAAATGGCTCTGTAATAAGCCCAACACCAACGTGAAACCTTCTGTCCACAGAACTCTCTTATTAAACATTTATGTCCTGTTTAATTAATCAAAACGAACAACAGATAATTTAATCATTTATTCATCTTGCTCTGGTCCAGTGTTGACTTGCCGGGGCTTGTTATTTGCCCAAGGCCTTTTGGTTCAATCACAGACTGAAAACTTTGAGTCTGCAGAGATTCTGATGAACCTGAATGCATCATTCTGTCTGAACGTGCTCCTGTTAGAAAAGCTCTATTAAAGGAAGGCCTAATCATGTCTGCTTCTGCTGAATGGAGCACATTATTTAGCCCAACAAAAACAGTCTTCCTTATATATAAAAGCCACTAATTGTAGACAAAAGGATTCAGTTTTTTTTAGTTGCGTGTGGGTTATTCTGTTGAAGGTTTCTTGGTTACTTTTATAGTTTCAAGAAGTACCTCTGAACCATTTGGAGTCATGCTTGACTGTGCGGAGCGCAGGGCTGTCGCCGAGGCTGCGATAGATCACTGCATCGATGGCCAGGAAATCTGTCACTGTGCCGGTAAAAAGACTTCCATCTAGAAGAGAGAGAGAGAGAGAGAGAGATGCACGGAGGGAGAAGATTAGGAAGAAGAGGGGGAAGACACAGAGATAGCACAAGGTCAGAAAGATTAAAACCAAACAAGTGATGCAGCCAGAGGTCTGACTATTAATCATGTGTAAAGATAAACTTATAACTGCAGATGTTTCAAAGTCCAGATGTGAAAACTCAGTCAGATATCTGCTGCAACACTACAACTCACAATTTGTGAAACATAAAGTGAAAATAAAAACAGAATGCAATGGCGTACAAATCTCAAAACCCATATTTGATTCACTTTGGAACACCCATCCATTCATTATCTTTGCATGCTTCTTCCTTTTCGGGTCACGGGGGTCACTGGCGCCCAACAAGCGAGACTCTTCACTCTCTCACTCACACCTAGGGACAATTTAGAGTTACCAATCAGTCTAGCGTGCATGTTTTTGGTCTGTGGGAGAAAACCGGAGTACCCAGAGAAAACCCACATGTGCACGGAGAGAACATGCAAACTCCACCAAGAATGGCCCCCAGCCAGGATTTGAACCGGCGACCTTCTTGCTGAGGGGGCAACAGCTCTACCAACTGCGCCACCGTGCCGCCTCACTGTAGAACATAACAAATATATCAAATGTTTTAAACTAAAAAAATGTTTAGCTTTTCAGCAAAGAGTCTAGCTGTTTGACAGTCCTCTTCTTTGCTCAGGTTCTCATTTCATAATGAGTCAAATGTTTTCAACAGGAGAGAGGTCTGGACTGTAAGGAGGCCAGCTCAGAACCCAGACTCATGCTGCTTAATAAATACTTCATGTGGTTTAGCATTGCCTTGCTGAAATATGCAAGACCTCCCCTTTAAAAGACAACAACTGGATGGTAGCATATCTACATTAATAGTGCTATTCCAGATGTGCAAGCTGCCCTTTACTTAGCCAGGCATTAATGCACCTCCATACCATCAGAGAGGCAGGCTTTTGAACTATGTGCTGATAACAGGCCTTTCTGAAGGGCGTTCATATTTCTTCTTCTTTACATGATAGAGCTTTAACCAGAAATTGTGGATTATGTGAAACATTCAACTTTTTAATACATTCTCCTGACTTGCTGCCAACTAATTGTGACTAATTAGTTGTGAAATAGTTGTGACAACTAATTTTGTGAGCACAGCTTGCAGGAGAGCATTCTTGGCTGTGCACGTTATTTTGTTGCACACGTTGGACCAACCTCAGCTCGACTTGTCTCCACATCAGCAGCCGCCCCACAGCTAAGATTTAATCTGCTGAAGCATACTTTTGAAAAGAGGTAAGCATTTTGACTAGTTTTTTTATTTATTTATTATTATAATGACTATGTTTTTTTTTTTTAGACTTGAAAATTTACCTTGGATATTTTCCGTCAGAGGAGAGCTCCTTCATGGATTATTTTTCCTTTTACCTGGATTATTGAGCATGAACTGTAGTGTTCTCCTCCAGCTGTTTCTCATTTAAGTTTACGGCCTTTTTATTGTTTTGTTCCAACTTTTTCAAGAGGTGCTGCTGCCACAAAATTCCAAAAGATCTCATTTCCCCTAAAAATTGAACAACTTCTAAACATCTGTGTGTTTACTTCATTGTTAAAAAAAAAGAGTCTATGAGATGAACAAATAATTACATTCTGCTTATATTTCCATTTGTGTGTGTGTTATCTTTAGAATAGAAAGCCAGCATCCCACCTGCAAACAATGCCACATTGGCATGTCGTGGGTCATACGGGCATCGTGCCATTCCACTGATGGGCTCGCCGACCATCTCTAGAGAGTCCCGCTGCAATAAGAGCAGAGTGGTAAAACTCAAACCAAACAGCAGACGTACAGCAAGTCGTGGTGTTACATATAGACAAATACTAACAGTGTAGTTGGCACACAGAGGGTTGAAGGCATTTGTTCCACAGACAAACAGGCCTCCATGTTGCCTGAGCAGCACCTTGATGAAATTCCGACACTCTCCCTGTTGGAAAAGGGACAATAGATTACAAAACAAATGGAGAGGACGTTCACGTTTAATACTTTTCATGAAATTAATATCTTCTTTTGAAGAAGCTGTATTTTTGCACAAGGTAAAATGTTTATATCAGCAAACTCTGTCTTCACAGCTCACCTGTGTATCTAATGGCCTAATGTGCTGCTACTGTTAGAAATATTACTGATATGAAATTCGGATGCCTTAAATCCAAACTAAGCTGGACCGGTTGATTGTTACACATAAAGCTTGATCATCATAAAGTCAGTGTGTCAGGTTTTAATTTAGTTTTGCTTTGTTTTTATAAATCTCATTTTATTTTGAAGCATCTTCTCCGTAGTGACTTTTGTCCTCTTTAATTTTCTGTCCTTGAGTTTTATTTCTCCTCTTTTGGATGGTCTTATTCTGTTGCTCTTTGTTCCATACGTGTGCGGAGCTTTTATAACATTTAGAAACCTTTATAGCAGGGAAATTCAACTAAATTGCTCAGGGGGCCACAGTTACTGAAAGCAATGAACTCAGGGGCCGCACATCCAGCAGTTATTGTCATTGAATAAGTTTGTTTTATGAGTTAAAATCTAGTTTTATTTAAAAATGAAACCATTGGTGGGCCGAACTGAGTTCATTGGTGGGCCTGATTTGGCCCCCGGGCCACCAGTTGAATCATCCTGCTTTATAGCCCTGATTTGTTTGTGTTTTCCCTTTTTTGTCTCCAGTCTTTAGTACACAACTTGACTTTTGCATCTGTTCTTTTGGGACTGCAGTTGGAGAAAGTCTTTTCTCGCATCTGCATTTTGCAGCTTCTGGACATATCAGATCACATCTTCCTTGATTTGAAAATGGTTTCCAGGCACAGATTGCACCCAGTAAGCCTCCAGGACTCAGTCTAATGGTTTTCATTACTTCACCAAGCCAATTATCATTTCAATACAATATCACTTTATTGTCCATAACATTCAGCAAAATGGAGATTTGTCTTTGACATCTGGCTTATAAAAAAAAAAAACAACACAAGTTAAAAATGTCATAAAACTTTTAAAAGCTTTGCTAACCCGAATAATGGTTGCAGTGGATGAGTTGGGTCATCGTAAACCTGGATTGACTTTTTTTTCCAGAACCTGACTGTACATGTCTGTAAGTGCCATTTGTTGATGACCAATGGCTTTGTTACCTTGTTTGACCACCCGGGACAACTTGTTCCTGTCTCTGGCTAGGAGGTTCCCATACCATGAGACAATATTAAATGAAACACTTTCAACCAGTGACCTGTACACCAACTACGAAGTAATTTTGCTTGCATCAAAGCTCCTTAGCTTATACAGAAGGTGGAGAATCTGTCTGGCTTTTTTGTAAATATAGTCAGTGTTGGGCTCAAAGATCAACTTGTTGTCAATTATTGTTGCAAGGTATTTTAAATCAGTCACCTGCTCTACTTCCTGCCCTTCTATCACAGAAGGTCTGAATACAGGTCTGGTGCTGTTTGATCCCCACCTACCACCCAACCAAAGTTCCTTGGTTTTACTGACATTGAGGGCCAATAAACCGTCATCAAACCAGGCAAAGAGCTGATCTATGAACTGGGAGTAGGAGGGACTGTTGGTGTCTTTCAGACCAGCAACTAGGGCCTTATCATCAGCATATTTAATTAATGTAAAATCATTACTGTTATGTTGCGACTCATTTGTGTATATAGAGAATAAAAGAGGTGATAGCACGCAACTCTGTGGCGTGCTATCACCTCTTTTATTCATCAGCCTCACATTGAACAAACTGTTAGAAAAATCCTTGATTGGCAGTTTTACATTTAGATTGTCTGCATTTCGATCATAGATAGTTTGTACTGATCTATCATTTATCAGTAATCATGTTGAGTCATGTGATGAGTTGACCCGAGTTATTAAAATATCACACCAGAGATAAATGACACAATGAAGTCAAGAAACCACGAGCCAGCAGCTTAATATTCAAGTTTAGGTCACAATGAGTTCCTCTTTCATATCAGCTCCATAAATCATGAGCTTCTCTGACACATTCCAGTTTTTCTTTTTTTTTTTAAATGAGAATGTTAAAATCTTCCTCTATGGAGCAATTTTTCAAGAATTGTATCAGTTTATTTTCATTATTTTGACTTTCATTAATGCACTAATGGTGCAGTCTGTGAAAAATTGGGAATTAAAATTTCAGCCAAAAACTAACAGCTCAGAACATTTATTCATCCTCAGTCTGTCGGAGACATGTTGTAATTCAATTCAAGGTGGTGCACCAACTGCAGTGGTCCAAAGACAAGCTGTCCAAGATCAAAGCCAACCTGGATCCTGCATGTAACCGCTGTAAACAAACTCCAGCTATGCTCTTACACACATGCTGGACTTGTCCAAAGCTACAGAGCTGTTGGCAATCTATTTTTGATACTTTCTCTGGAATATGTGGGGAAACTGTGCACCCGTCTCCATTCATCTCACTGTTTGGGGTGGCCCCTGTGGATGAGTCCTGCATCTGCAAGTGCTAGAGGAATAAGATTGCTTTTGGCTCTCTTCTAGCCAGGAGACTTATTTTATGCAGATGGAAAGATCTGCATCCCCAGCATTTGAACACAGGATAAGAGAAGTCATGTCATGTTCATCTGGAAAAGATCAGATACTCTGAAAGGTTCTGTTGAGAGATTTTGGGACACATGGCAGCCATTTATGTCCTATGTTGAGAGTATGTCAGTGCCTGTCTGATGTGTCCACGTCTGTGTGGCTGATCAGGTGTGCGAGGGGATTTTGTTGTATGTATTTTTTTTCTTTTTGTATGTGTGAGGGTTCTGAAAAGAAAAAAAAAAATCAATAAAAAGACTGATAAAAAAAAACTATCAGCTCTAATAAGTTACATTTCAAAAATAAAAACTTTTAACAAAAGTCTGCAGATCATTATTCAGTCATGTCTTTCTAAAGTTTAACTTCTGATAACAACTTGCAGTTATTAGTAAAAGCAAAAATCAAATGCAAATAAGTTTTGATTCCCTATTTCTGCTTTACAACTAGTGCGGCATCAATAGAAGCATCAAAAGCAAATAATAGAACAACAGTTTATTTTATGCTGAGCTGGAGCTGCAGCAGATCTGAACCACTTTTAAAAGTCGTGAGGGTCAGAATAAAATGTCAAGTTGGTGTTTTACTTCTTAAGCATCTCAGTTTATAATGACCCTAAATACTGTATAAATTATGCGCTGTCAAGCATATAAAATTACATTTTAGTTTTTAATTTATACACCTTTAATATCATTATTGCTCCTTCTTGCTCACTTGCACAGTCTGACTCTACTGGTTTGAATTTTTTTTTTTTTCCTTGAACTGATACATAATGCATCTTTCATCACATAAAAAAGCACATTGTTAACAGTTTTATCTTTCTTTTAAATGTGTTGAACATTTCAAAATGATTCTGTACTGTCATGCTGACATTCAATATCGATATGGAGGATCAGAAAAGATAATGCGAACTCCCCTACGTGTTACAGATCAGCATGGAGCTGACCGTCTATATTATTTTACATCCGTTGTATAAACTAGGTGATTCAGTTATGTTTTTAATCCGGTTTACTCTAAGTTTTAAAATTAGCTCACATTTTCTGAGTTATCCAACATGAGTCACTTTTCTGTCTTTAGTCTCCACCTTGAGATAATCCTTCTCTTGTCTTTGTTCCAGTTTTATCACAACTTGAATTCTGCTTTTATTCCCTCCTACATCGTCTCTTCTTTCATCTGAGTTCCCACCACCGACCGGCTGCCCTCTCTTTTTTATATTTCCTCCACCTCCACACATCTCACTATTACCTTCCTTTCTCACCTGTCTTCAATAACTCTTCCCTTCCTGAGGCAGTGTCACTAAACTCTTCTCAAGTATAATACTATGAAATTTCCATTTAACTTTTATACATTTTTTTGAAAAGTCCCACTCAAATTGCATTTTGCCACTTTAGGCCTGCAGCCCATAATCCCTATATTTGCTCAGCTAATAAAACTTTTTCAACTTGGGCTTTATATAATCACGTAAATGTCCAACATTATCATTATGTCCACATTTTAAAAAGCCGATCTAATTCATGTGTACAAAATAAATGCTTTTCCAGTAACATTTGACTGCATTAGCTTGATTAGATGATTTGCTGATTATGGATCAACAAGAGCTAATTGGTGTGAGCTCCGTATGCAGGTGCGGCTCCAGAAAAATAGATCTGAAACAGCTGTTGATTATGTTTGTGTGTGCGATGCTGTTTGCATGAGTGGATCTTAGTGTGTTTTGTATTTCACCTCATGTTTGCCCTTCATCCGACACACTCGGATATCATTCTTATTGGACTCCCAGGTCCGTTTCTGAAAAGCAGAAATAAGGCAGAACTACTGTAGTTGTTCTGTATGGACGGTGGAATGTGACAAAAATGAAATAAGTGCATACATGATGAAATACATTAATTTAAATGTCCAATTAAATAAATAACAAAATTCAATAAATAAATACATAATGAAATTAATTAATGTAAATGTCCAATTAATAAATAATATTTATATTCAATAAATAATTACATCATGAATTAAATTAATGTGTGTCCAATTAAATAAATAACAAAATTAAATAAAAAATACATCATGAATTAAATTAATGTGTCCAATTAAAAAATAACAAAATTAAATAAATAAATACAAAATTAAATAAATGAATGTAAATGATCAATTAAATAAATAACAAAATTAAATAAAAAGTACAATATTAAATAAATTAATTTAAATGTTCAATTATATAAATAACAAAATAAAAAATAAAAATATATAATTAAATAAATTAATGTAACTGTCCAATTAAATAAATAACAAAACTAAATAAATAAATACACCATGAAATAAATTAATGTAAATATCCAATTAGATAAAGAGCAAATTCAAAAACTAAATTAAATAAATAAATACATCATGAAATAAATTAATTTAAATGTCCAATTAAGTAAATAAATTTACCCAATGGAATAAATAAATGTACCATGTAATAAATAAATGTACCAATAAATCTCCCATTAAATAATTAAATGTATCTCCCATTAAATAATTAAGTGTATGATTTAATATTTAATTAAATGAATGAATTTAATTATTTAATACATCATTAAATCATTAAATTTACAATTAAATTATTAAATACACAATTTATTAATTCAAATTCCCATTAAATAAATAAATGTACATTTAAAATAATGACATGAAATAATTAAATGTCTTTTTCAAGAAATTATATAAAAAAATACATTTAATTATTTCATTGTGTTATTTACTGTATTTATTTCATGATGTATTTATTTATTTGATTTGGTCACATTTCACCCTCCACAGTTCCGTGTGTGTCAACATTTTATTAATTAGTGTGTGCGTTTGTGTGTAGGTGCACGTGTTTGCAATAAAAGTGGGTCATACCTTGCTGTAAAACATCTCCTCTCCCACCATGTTGTCCAGCTCCACTCTGTATAAGTCATCTCTACAAAACACACATTTCATTAAACAGTTAATACATTTCTTTCAGCTGTCTATTTGCTCAGGGGTCGTGAACTTGCATGAAAGACTTGGCAATTGTTTTACACTAGATACCCTTCCTCAGGTAATTGAACCTGCAACCTCAGGGTTCCAAGACTACAGCACTGACCACCAAGTTACCACAACCCCTTCACATTTCCTTAGATATTGCTATTTATTACAGAACATGACCACAATGATAGAAAAGCCCGTCTTTACCATGCTCAGTTTGCGTGAATGTTTAATAAATTTCCAAATGAAGCACATTTTCAACTTTTCTTTCCATTGTTTACTGGTTCTTGTTAATAGGTAATAATCTAATGTCAGAGAGGCAGAGCTAACTTTATTTTATTATGCAAAAGTTTTAAACCATCAATCATTTGTTTCCACAAAGCCATAATCTAAAATAATTATCAATTATTTTCAAGGTTTCTGAATATTTTTAAAAGTTTTTTTCAGACCTTAGAAGCTTTTGCATTCATTCTAGCTCCTTGAAGGCACATTATAAAGAAATTAAGCATATCTGTATAGAAACAGAATTTATGTTTTATAGTTCATTAGTATTTGCTTTAAAAACACAGTTCTGCTGCTTTTACCTAATGAAGCGACTGCAAATGTCATCGTATGGTTTGTGTGTGTTTTTAAAACAGTGGCGTTCTTTATGCTTGAATGAAAATAATGTTGCCATTTGAAAAAAATTAATCAAAACGCCATTTATGTCTCAGTGCCATCTGCTTGTTTGTTATGAGTCACAGACAGACATTATTCTGATTAAATGTTCTGAAGACAGGCCCATGAAATGGCTTCTGATTTGTGGAATGATTCTGATGTATTCAGTGGATGCAGCAGATTATTTATCAGTGGCTTCATTAGTGAGTGAGACAAATGAAAGCAGTCATGAAATATTACAAATATTGTCTGCATTTGGGATCATTTGTTTAATTTCACCTCATAAGAAGTTGGGAAATTCAGCATGTTAAGTTGCAAATACAACAGCAAACAATCCGGAGCATCACGGTCTGTGTGTAGTTTTATTTTATGTTTTTGAGTTGTTCTGGCTGATTTTACTGTTTTATTTGCAACTACACACACTTTTAATATTATGCAAAGGTATCAATAATGCTCCAGCTCCATTGTTGAGGTTCTGTTAATAAAACAATAATTTTCATGGAGCAGCAGCGCTCAAACATTTTAGCTTCTAGCCCAGAAAATACCATATTTTTTGGATTATAAGGCGCAATATCAATGAATGGGTCTGCTTTCATACATAAGGCACACCAGATTATAAGGCACATTAGATGAAACAAAGCAGTCAGATAAGTCAAACTTTATTCAACTCATTCACAATAGCCTATCTGTTCGAGGGCCGTAAGCACAACCAGAATTAATACATAAGATGTACCGGATTATAAGGCTCAATGTCGATTTTTGAGAAAATTAAAGGATTTTAAGTGCACCTTATAGTCTGAAAAATACAGCACTAATGCAAAAATCTTCCAACCCCAAATATATTTGCTTAAGCTACAGGAACACTGCTAAAAAGTAACTAAATATATATATATATATTTTAAATGTATAGAACCTTTATTTCAGATAAGGTCCACCTAAGATCACAAGCTTTCTTTTTCTAGGAAGCCCTGAGCAAATATGACAACAAAAACAGATTAAACCCATTTTATACCACTTTTTATGACTATTGTTGTTATCTTTTGAAAATATGCCATTAGGAATTCTTGTTTAAATGAATTTGATATCTGGAGACAACCAACCGGGTGTTTTGTGACCCACAGGGTCAACATTAATAAAGATGGATTAAGCCTCTATGCCTTCTCCTGATGATTTATTCAATGTTTACCGAATAACTATATAACCAGAGCTTACTTTCTTTTCCCATGATGTTTTTTTATATAAAGTTTAGAATACACCTAACTTATTAATACACAATAAAAAGAGCACATCGAATCAGCTAAAAGTCCCCAATAACAATGTTAACATACAGCTACTTACATTCTACTTTAAAATAAGAAAATCCTAAAAAGAAGGAATTTAAAACAGATCATGTCACACTGATGCAAATGAGCTCAATCCAGCTTGACATCTGACCTCAGCTGCTAGTTCATCTGCAGGAGTCTGATCGGCACCATTTCACAATCTAAATCAAACAGATTATGGTGAAATTCAAACTTTATTTCTTTGGCTTCAAAGCAATGCAGGGAGAACGCTGCACTAAATGTGCTTTTGACGATTGATACAGACTCAGTCTGTCTCAAATGAGTAAGCCAGATCCAAAACATTCATAACTATCTCGGAGGCCAGATGAAACTTCAAAAAGGGCCATTTCTGGTCCACGGACCTTGATTTTGACACGTGTGACTGAAACTATAGGTTCAATTATAACAACTAGGGGATGTCTACTTGCTGCATGACTTCTAAAGGCTGTTTACATCTGCAAACTGTTCAACTATACTGAAAAAAATCTCAAATATTATTTGTGACGTATAAAGCTGAATACTTTTAAGTGATAGGATTGTTTCATCCAATAGATCACATATTTGTGGGGGGGGGGGGGGGGGGGGGGCAATTCTCATTTTCAAAGATTAATGTGAGCACGGAGCTTTCACTTGACATTTAAAAGCAACGCTGACTAAATCATCACTCGAACAAACTGCAAATGTCCCTTGAAGAGTGACAGCAGATGGACGAGCCAACACATATTCATGCGAACACGTCATGACACACAGTTGGAGGCGGTTGCTGTTGGTTACCTGGCTCCTATGTAAAGAGTGCGGTTGACTTGGAGGACCGTCTGGATGTGCAGCTCCTGTCTCTGAGCCAAACGATGAGCTCTGCCCAGGAACACTGGATACCTCCTGACCACTGTCAGATGACACACATGTATGGAAATGAGTGAGCGACACTGTTAAAAATGAACCTGTGTGCCAGGCTCAAGGACTCTCTGACAGCCCATCCCTTCCATTTTTACCGAATGTACTCAGGCTCTTTAACCTTCACTTTATAGTATTTTCAATCATTCCAGGTACATTTGTTAAGGCAAACACAAGAGGCAGTGATGGCTTTTAAGTCCCTTTTATCCTTTTAGTCTCTTCTCGCTGCTGCTGATTCATGCAGCCTCATCGTGACAAAAACCGTGGCCTGGTTCGAGGCCTATACAATAAATGTGATCTCAAAGTCCACTTTCATTAAAAAACAAAAACAAACAAACAAGCTGAACCATTCTGTCTCTGTGTAATTTCTAAATGGTTCAAGGCAGCGTGGGGAGTTAAAAAAGGCACATCAGCCTGTCATTTATGCACATTTGTCTCACCAAACGAGGTAAAACAGCAGTAACTGTAACCGTGAACAGGTTTTGACATCCTGTCGGTGCGACCACCAAAGAGTTAAAGAGATAAAAGTCTAAACAAGTAACAGGGAAAAGATTAATAATGATGGACAACTTTACATTTAATTTAAAAACTGGTTAACTTCCAAGAGTAAAGCTAAACTGGGTTATTTTGTCATATTTTGAAGATCATATGAGAAAAATGTCCTTTTTATATACAGTTATTCTTGTCAACGCAGCTGATTTCTGTTCCGTGCCGTTTTTGTTTCTGCAACACTGGTTTTATTTCTAAAAGCTCACCTTTTTTTGGGCCGTGACCGGCTTGATTAGTGATTTATGGACGAGCTGAGGCAGCTCAAAGACGAACTGGTCTTTGTGACCATTTTGCAGAAATGTTTTGTGAAATAAACTAAACTGACGAAGAGGCCTGGACTCCATCAGGAGACAGAAATGTCCCACAGCCTTGGCTGTACGAATGTCTCCTCACATCATCCAATCTTTTATCTCGTCATACCCATCCAAACAATCATCACGTTTTTAATCTTTCTGCTCCCAAAATGAATTAAAATATTTTCCCTTATCTCCATTGGTTTCTGTCTTCTTTTCTTTTCTGCCATCTTTCACACATTCACAAACTGATAGTAGTAAAAAAAGGAATGTTCTCTCGTTTATCTGATTGCTCCAGTAGCTCCAAAGCAGCTCTTCACCAAGGCTTTGACCCTTGACCTCTGATTTCCACATCCACCACAGAGCCATTTATCACTGCTGCACACACGCCTGTGCACTCCAACGTGCACACAGAGGGGAAGGACACGTACCCTCTACAGGGATGTAGCTGAGAGGACCAGGCTCCTCTGGGAATGAGCCATCAGCCAGCTGAAGCAGCAGGAGAAGAAATGCGAGGGGAGGAGCCACAGTTGCCATGGCAGCAGCAGCACACATGCACTGTTAACAAAGAGAGAGAGGGGAGAGAATTTTTTCACTGCGCAGCACATTATATATGTGAGAGTGTGTGTTTGTATTGACATTTTGACAGTTTTCTCAGTGCACATGAAGTGACCAACAGGTTTGTGACTCTCTGTGTACATGTCAGCTGTATTTGCTGCCTGCTGCCACAAACCTGCCTTCAGTAAGGGGCTAATGCATTTCTATTGTCTGCTGCAGGGGTGCGATGTCAGAAATGTCACTTCTTGTCAACCAGGAGGATTCTCACAGTCGCACAACAACACAGCAGTGTTGCAAACGCGCTTTACGTGGTGATGGTTTTTATTGCTAATAACTGTGATTCTGCACACTGACGTAATTAGACAATAAACAAAGATGACTTCTGTAAGTTGGATAAAAGAAGTAAAAAAAGATCCCAAAACACGGGATAACCCAAAACAGTTGGGACAGTGACTGCAAATAAAAACTGAATGCAGTCACAACATGCATGTTAGGCTGACTGGTAACTTTAAATTGTCCCTAAGTGTGAGTGAGACAGTGAATGGTTGTTTGTCTCGTTTGTCTCTATGTGTCCCTGTGATGGACTGGAGACTACGGGATGAACGACTACATATTTTTTGAAGTCAACCTCAACATGATAAAAGTCGAGTCAACGTCGACTAGTCACTGTGATGTCATAGAAACTCAAGACGTTATATCATATTCACAAAAAAACAAACAAAAAACCCCCCATCATTTATTATTTACAAAAAAAAAAAGGTAAAAAAAAACATCATGGGAATATATATATATATATATATATATATATATATATATATGCTCCTACCATTTATCATACTGCAAATAAGTCACAGGAAAACCAAAACTATTATTAAGCTGCAAAAGTGAAAGAAACGTGCGGCACGTGAAAAACAAAACTAAAAACAGGAGGGCGGGCGGTGGTGGAATCCACCACGGGTGGTGGATGCCAAGATTTTAGCTGAACCGTAAGAGTCATCTTTAGTGAAATACTTCCACACTGTTGATGAATTTCTACCTGTTTGGCAAGACTTGGTCTTCTTCTCGCCTTCCATTTGCTTGGAAGAATCCATTTTGTAGCCAGTGCCCGATGCTGATAATGTGACTGCGACTAATTGACGCAAAATTTAAAAACTCGCTAGATGTCTTAGAATTGACTTGTCGACTAATTGATTCAACCCCTACTGGAGACCTGTCCGGGATGTCCCAGCCTCTCGTACAGTGACTGCTGGACATGAGCACCCTCATCTCGAAAAAGGGGAAAGATGGTAAAGCCTGTAAAGATGGATGGATAATTTGCAACTCGCAAAAAACCAATATATATGAACAACGGAAAATATATGAAATGTTTTGACAAAAGACATTGTACAAGTTTTAGAAAAAAGGGTTATTTTTTAATTTGATAGCAGCAACACATAAAACAAAGAGGGGATAAAGGCAACACAAGCTGTAAATGCAAGTACTGTAGCACAAAAAAGTAAACAGCTGGAGGAGAATTTGGTGAGAAAGTATCATAACTTATGTCTGGTCAGTGAGAGGACTGATATAAACTGAGCATCTTTTAGACTGATTCTCTTAATAGTGAAGATGTGCAGATGTTCACAAATTTACAAAAAGTTCATGTTTTCTTCAAAAGATTTTAAGAATCTGGAGAAATCTCTGAGCTCAAAAGACAAGGCTGAACGTCAGTTTTAGAGGCTCGTTATCCTTAGACCCTCAGGAGGCACTGCATTGAGAAAAGGTCTGGTTCTGTTCTGAACATCACTGCATGGGCTCTTCCATAAATCATTATCCTTAAACACAGTTCACCACGCCATCCACAAATGCTGATTAAAGCTCTATCATGCAAAGAAGAAGGCATAATGAGCATCATCGAGAAATGCAGCTGTCTACTCAGGCCCAAACATCATTTAAAATGGACTGAAGCGAAGTGAAAATTGGTTCTGTGAAGAAACATTTTGAAAGTTTTGTGGGGGCACTACTGATGTCACATCCTCCAAACTAAAAAAAGAGAAGAATCAGCGCACAGTTGAAAAGCCTGCCTTTCTGAAGGGATCAGTGTTTGTTAGTCTTTGGAAGGTTACACATATGGAAATGTACCATCAAAAATTGAATAGTTTTAATTTGATTATATCTAATATGTGATTCTTGACCTGCCATTGTGTATCTGTTCCTACCAAACCCAGCCGGTATCAGATGGCCGCTTGTCCTCAGTCTGGTTCTGATAAAAGTTTCTTCCTCATGAGGGAGTTTTTCTTTTCCACTGTCGCCTTCATGCTTGCTCAAGATGAGAGTTCTGCGATGGAGTTAAATTCAAAGCTGTCTGCTCCTCAGATAAATAATGTTAAATTGTTATTTTTAAATATGAATGTTTCTGTTAAGTGCCCTGAGACGACTTCTGTTGTGACTTGGCCGCTATATTAATAAACTGAATTGAATTGAAATCAATGTACAAAAGTATTTACAGGTTTTAGAACAACAACTGGTCTCCTCAGCTGTTCACAGACTGTCACAATAAGAGGAATTTCTTCAGAGTCTCAACGTTGTGTTGTGCAGCCCAGCACATTCAACACTTTTTTGTTTTAATGTTAGCTTTTTAATTTCTACGTTTGATTTGTTTACTATGTTCCATTGTGAACAAAACATGCAGAAATGTGCAAATCATTGCTTTCACTTTTTATTTGAATTTGACACAACGTCACAATTCTTTCAGAATGGGCAACAAAACAACAACTAGTTTGTCATTCAATTCAGGAATTAGTTTAAACTAAAATTGTGCATGAAATAATACAATGTGGGAAATATGCATAAGCAAAATTTAAAGGTGAGTTTATTTTTCAGTTTTAGAAAAAAAAAAGACATTTGAAACTTGTTTTTAAAACTCATTGCTAACTAACTATGCGCTTACAATCTAATGATCATGCCTCTAAAAAGACACATAACTTTAATGTTGGAATTTGAACCCAAGCTTTTTCATTTAAATTCCCCGCAAACAATGATATCAAACTTTTGTGAATATCTGGAAAGCCTTATGATGAAGCTCATGGTCATAAATAGTGGTACTTTAGTTATGCTGCTGCAGATGTGCCACAGTTGCAAAGAGCCACAAAACAACCGTGCTGTGTCTTCAACGTGCACACACGCACAAGTCAGTGAGTTCACCACAAAAAACAGAGTGCTAACAAGCTGAAATAAAAGGCGACATGTTTGCAGGGCCCATTATTTGTATTTTCACACATTGACATTTGTTAACAAAGCACTCAACTTAGGGCAGAAACCACGGGCGTTATTAATGCACGTTTTAAGATCCAAACAGCCACAGCCAGTGTTGTGCATGCAGTTTGTTCTGTCCAGCTGACACACCTCAGTGTTTGTTCAGTGTGTCTGCTGTGCTCCTCACACAACTTCACTCCTGAAATGTGTCCCATCATCTACCTGCATCAGTCCGTTGTTTTTCTCTTTATTATTTATGAACTCGTAGTGAATGGGTCTGCTTTGTTGTATTTAGAATTTTAAATTGAGTTTTTGTGGGAAAAGTAAAAAAAAAAAACTTTTTTAAGACCTGTCTTGGGGCTTAATTAAACAAATTTTAAGGGGAAAATTGACTTTTTTTTAATTAAGGCTGAGAAAATTATCAGTTAATGCTGCAAGTCTTTGTAACTGTGCAGGATCCACATATTGAACAGAGGGGTATTTGAGCTTAGACTTCACAAAAGATAACCAGAGAATACTAAAGCAATTAAAGGCATAACATTCACTGAAGAAATGCATATCACCCATTGCCTTCCATGCCAGATATAGAGTAAGATCATCTTATTTGAAAACTGATGGAGTTGGAGCTGGTTCAGTCAAATTAAGAAAACAGTCCATCCATTTTTTTTTCCCGCTTCTTCCTTTCTGTGTCGCGAGGGTCACTGCTGCTCATATGCAGCAATCACTGCGTGAGAGACAGGGCGCATCCTGGACAGGTCTCCAGTCCATCACAGGGACACAGAGACAAACATCCATTCATTCTCTCACTCACACCTAGGAAAAATTCAGTTACCAATCAGCCTAACATGCATGTTTTTGGTCTGTGGGAGGAAACCGGGGTGCCTGGAGAAAACCCACGCATGCACAGAGACAACATGCAAACCCCACCCAGAAAGGTCGCGGGCCAGGTTATGATCCAGCAACTTTCTTGCAGAGAGGTGGCAGCTCTACCAACCACGCCACCATGCTGCCTTAGAAAACAATATTTTGTGCAATTTTGTGATAATGCAAGATATCTCACTCAGAGTATGGTATGTTTTGTGAAGGACTCTCAACCACTACCACATTACATTTCAGCTCTACAGCTATAGCATTTACAGCGTTACAGCCATTTTCGTGTAGGTTGATGTCAATAAACGTTGGCCACCATCTTAGATCTGGTTGGCTCCATAAGGAAATAAGTTGAGGTACATCCAATGATTACTTTACCAAAGTTTCATTCAGATTTGTTTGATGATTCAAGAGATGTCCCCCCCCCCCTCCACCACCACACACACACACATAAAATACACAAATTAACACTACATAGCTATAAAAAAGGTAAAGCAACAGATCTAGCACATGATGATACACACCTTTTGGAGCTTGCATTGATATTTGTCAATCAAGTCAGTACTTATTGGAATAATTCAGTCTGAACTTCATCATCAGACTAGAAGACTAAACTCTGACATTCCAAACAGCCACACCATGGCTACAAACCTCCATATGGGATCAAAGTGTCAGAAACAAGCGCTCCATCCGTATATCACGATCTGTTGCACCTATAAAACTAAGACAGAGGAATAATACTGCCACACATGAGTTACAGTCAAGTATAAAACGTAAGGGATTCACCACGAAGCACGTCCGAATGTGGAAGCTTTTTGAACGCTTTTGTTCAAGCCGTCTTTGATGTGAAAATACCTTGAATGTAAAAATGAAATACGGCGAGGGAGAGATGAAACGAA